ATGCAAATAGCAACAACAAATTATCCGTTTTCGATCTATCAAGTTTATAAATGAAAAGATTCTGAAAACGAAGAGTTGGTGTGGGTACAGAGGCAGGTATACTCACTCTGTTCAAGGTAATGTAAGTATGTACGTCCTTCCTAGAGGGCATTCAGGCCTCAACTATGTCCAAAACTGTAAAGACAGACACTCCTGTACCTTTAACCCAACATAATCGAACAAAGATGAAGCTGCACAAAGATTTCCAGCAATGTGGATGACGAGGTCTTGGAGAGCTCTGCTGGCACACAGACTAGGCAAGCAAACCTGTGTGCATTCTCGGTAAAATGCCATGTGGACACTCTTCATTACTGAGCCCTGTGCTTCAGAATTTGGAAAGCTGTTTTTTGTTGTTGTTGTTGTTGTTGTTGTTGTTTTCCCAACCATAAGAAACAGTAAAGGGGACACTTCTTGCTTGCCATAGCAGGCAGGAACATGAGGTACCCCTCATGACCAAGAACCATTCCAGATTAGGACTCAGATTTAAATGAATGAAGCCTGCCATCTGCTGGAGTTTTCTTATTAAATCTTACAGACTTTCAACTGAAAGCACTCAAGCTTCCCAGGCAGTCTTTGATAAGAGTTTATAATAGTAATTCAGTTCATAATGTTTATACTGAATGCCAAGACTTGTTGTGGGACTAACAAGACATCAGGGAAGACTTCTTGTGGGACCCAAGACATCAGGGAATGACATGTGGAGGACCCCATGAACAGAAAAGAACTGGAAAGAGACTGCCTTTATCTAGGCATTGACTGTTGATACAGGTGACAAACCAATTCAGTGCAGAAAGAAAAGTCTGTTTAATAAATGAAGGAGGAAGGGAGGGAGGAAGAAGAGGGAAGGAGAGAGGAAGAAGGAAGGGAGGGAAGAAGAAAGCTGATTTATTTATATGGAAAAGGGAGATTCTTCTTTAATGCACACCATACACAAAAATCAATTCAAGATGAATTATAGGCCGAGTGAAAGTTAAAACTATACTTCTAGCTAGAAGAAAACACAGCAGAGTATTTTTGGTTACCTGTGTGGGGACAGGTAGGTAACGGTCTTCTAAAGAGAACATAGAAAGCAATAAACAAAAAGTGGATAAATTAAACTTCGAAATTAAAAATATATCTTTAAAAAATATTGCCAATGGGGCTGGAGAGATGGCTCAGTGGTTAAGAACACTGGCTGTTTTTGCAGAAGACCCGGGTTCGAATCCCAGTACCCACATGGCAGCTAACAACTGTCCATAACTCCAGTTCCAGGGGACCCGATGGCCTCTTCCATCTGCCTCGGGCATTGCATGACACAGGTGCACTTACCTACATGCAAGCAATACATGCATACACATAAAATAAAAATAATAAGGTATTTTAAAAAAATATTGCTGGGGCTGGAGAGATGGATCAGCAGTTAAGAGCACTGACTGCTCTTGCAGAGGACCCGGGTTCGATTCCCAGCACCCACGTGGCAGCTACGAACCATTCTTAACTCCAATTCTAGGGGAATCTGAAGCCCTCTTCTGACTTTGGCGGCATTGCACAACGCGGGTGCACTCATATACATGCAGGCAATACACTCATACACATAAAATTAAAATAATAAAAATTATTAAAATAAAATATTGCCAGTGTACTGGAGAGATGGTTCAGTCAGTGGTTAAGAGCACTGGCTGCTCTTCCAGAGGAGCTGGGTTCAATTCCTAGCAGCCACATGGCAGCTAACAACCCTCCTTAACTCCAGTTCCAGGGGATCCAACACCCTCTTCTGACTTCTGCAGGCTCTGTGTGACACGGCTAAACTTACATACGTGCAGGCAAAACACTCATATTCATAAAAATAAAAGTAAATAAATTTTTAAAAATTTTTAAATGTTGCCATTGAAATGAACAGATTAACCATAAGATGGGAGAAAATATTTGCAAAGCATATATCTTCTTAAAAGAATGTGTCTGAGATATCAAGAATTGCCACAACTCAATAAAACATCTCCAAACAGGGTACTTAGAGATTAATAAGGTGATGTTCAGTGTAGAAAATAATATAATATATATTTTTAATTGAACAACTACTTCGAAGAGAACCATGTTCCCCAGACTCTAAGAGCTCATATTTTAATAAGAAATAAGGCTTCACTGACTGCTAGAAATCCAGTGAAAGGCTGTAGGACTGCAAACCTATAATTTTCTGGAGATTCAGAAATGAGAGCTGGCCCAGCCAGAGTTGCTGGATCAATGGAATGCATGTGATGAATTCAGCCACTGCCACTGTCATCCCACACAGCCAGGGTTTACAGAGCAATGAAAAAGCCAGTGCAGGGATTACTCAGAGCTTTTTGCAGAACCCAGGATTGAACCATCAGTTATTGAGGCGTCTTTAGGCTGCCATCAGCTCCTCCTATGCTTCCAGTTCCTCAAGGCAACCACCAAGGCTCTCAGCCCATAAGTGTGCAATTTTGTTCCTCTTTAAGGGGTTTTCTGTCATACAACCTGAGGGTGTAAAGGCTTGTTGTTTTTTTCTTGGGGGAAGCTATTAATTGGAGAAGGTGTTGCTACTACTCATTATGCCAGCTCAACAAGAGGAATTCATCCTTAGAGGCTCAGACATGTTGCGATAAAATTGAAAAGGAAATACCCCCAAATTACACTTTCAGAGAAGCATTTCCTTCTGCCAGAACTAAAGGAGCATTAACAGGTAGTGGGAGTCCTATTAGCTGGCCAGGCTCTGATACAACGAGATTCTATGCCAGGAGACAAGTCTAGCCCAGCAGACAAGTTGTGCTCTCATTGTCCCTCTGAAAGAACAGACTGACTGCTAGAAATCCAGTGAAAGGCTGTAGGACTGCAAACCTATAATTTTCTGGAGATTCAGAAATGAGAGCTGGCCCAGCCAGAGTTGCTGGATCAATGGAATGCATGTGATGAATTCAGCCACTGCCACTGTCATCCCACACAGCCAGGGTTTACAGAGCAATGAAAAAGCCAGTGCAGGGATTACTCAGAGCTTTTTGCAGAACCCAGGATTGAACCATCAGTTATTGAGGCATCTTTAGGCTGCCATCAGCTCCTCCTATGCTTCCAGTTCCTCAAGGCAACCACCAAGGCTCTCAGCCCATAAGTGTGCAATTTTGTTCCTCTTTAAGGGGTTTTCTGTCATACAACCTGAGGGTGTAAAGGCTTGTTGTTTTTTTCTTGGGGGAAGCTATTAATTGGAGAAGGTGTTGCTACTACTCATTATGCCAGCTCAACAAGAGGAATTCATCCTTAGAGGCTCAGACATGTTGCGATAAAATTGAAAAGGAAATACCCCCAAATTACACTTTCAGAGAAGCATTTCCTTCTGCCAGAACTAAAGGAGCATTAACAGGTAGTGGGAGTCCTATTAGCTGGCCAGGCTCTGATACAACGAGATTCTATGCCAGGAGACAAGTCTAGCCCAGCAGACAAGTTGTGCTCTCATTGTCCCTCTGAAAGAACAGCCTCTTGATTGATCTTTGCCTCTGTAAAAAGTGATTACTTGATAAAAAAAATCCACTGCTTCCACATCACTTACACTTTACTCAGACTTTAAGCATAACAGAATCATTGAATGTTTTTAAAAAGATGGTATTAATTGACATATAAACTTGTCCACTAAAAGGGAAATATGATACAAAAAGCAACATTTCTTTTCATTTATTGATAATATCCTAATTAACTCAGCAAAATGAATAATAGCAGCTCACCAAAAATCACATACACAAAAAACTGAGTTACATATAATTTTTATTTCACAACCTTTAAAAAAATACAAACCACTAAGTATTTTGAAAAACATACATGGAATAAACATTTAGCATTTACAACAGTGAAATAACATGGAATAAAAGGCATAACAGACAGAATGACCCCTGCCAAGTCATTAACCAGGAGCTTGAACTAGGGCCGGGGGGGGGGGCGTGAGACAGAGCCACACTGCCATTTTTTTCCATGATCAATTATCACTAAAATTGAGCACAAGACCTAACCTGCTTGGTACAGAAAGAAGTGCAATAGGTAGATATTGACATCTTCTATTTAGTTACCACATACTAATTTTCTTTTTCCTCCAAGGGACAAACTCAGTGCAAGGTAGGGCAGTGGAGATGGAGACCCTGAGCACATAGTCAGCTGCCTCTACCCCCTCTAATTCCAAAACACAAAGAAGACAAGGATGTGGACCGTGCATACAAAAGCCAATAGCTCTGTGTGGCTGTCTCAATTTAATTAAATAAAATTTAAGCTCTACCAGCCACATTTCAGTGTTTACTAAACACATGACTAGTAGTTTCCATATTGGGTACCAGAGATATAGAACATTTCCACATCACAGAAAGTTCTTTTGGAGAGCTCTGGATGTGGGAAGTGTTTCTTCTCTCTCTACTCCACCAGTATGTAGGCTGTGTGTGGAAGCTGCTTGAGAGGCGTTGGGGGTGCCGTCACAGAAGGAAGAGAGGTAGCCTTTCTGGGCATAGAGTATGAAAGGAATGGCAGACTTAGATCCCACCAAAATCTAACTGTCAGGAAAATGAGGGAATTCTGGAAAAAGCAAAAGAGAAAAAAACTATCTTTATCCCGTACCAAACGTCCATAAAGAGATCATGTACACCCCCAAAATGTGCAGCTCTCCAGTGTACTCCTCTAGAAAATTCTGGTGCTGGGCAAACATGTTGCCTAGTGAAGAAATCAGTCCTAACAAGTGTTTCCTGAGAACTTCTGACTTCACTCTGTTCAGCCTCATTGTTTGGAGCTATACAGGTGTGACAGAGGCGTGAGTTTGACTTATCTGGAACACTGCTCTTTCACAATGGTATTTTGTAACCTGACATAGAGTTCTGATTGTCCACCCAAGATCCAGCACCCTTTTCCTTCTTATCAAGAGCCCTCAGATTTTGGTTGAAAGTTACAACTACATCATCAATCAATCCTATAGAAAGCAGTGGTCAGTGAGATAAAAGGGTTGAACTGTTGAGAAACTTTTTAAAAGGAAATGGATTCAGATTGGCATGTCCTATTTTTCCTTTTGGGCTTTCTCCTTCTTGTAGGGAGCCACCATCTTGGAATCTGGAGAAAAATACTCAAGAGACTTCAGCAGCCACCTGCAGCCTACTGCCTGTGAACTGCTGAAGCAACACAACCTCACATCAAGTGTGAGTTACACTAGGAAAAGCCAAGCCCATCTTTAGCAGCAATCCATCTTGATGCTCTAGAGAATAGTGAGATTTCCACCTGAAGTAAAGCCAACCTTGTCTGAAGAATCTGGACCTTTCCAAAAATTTAAGTAACTCCACAGATTTATACCACTAAAACAAAGGTTGGGTGTAGAGATTTTAACTTGAGCCCATCCAGTTATTCAAAATCTGGCTATACGGCCCAAGGTGATCAAGCTGTTAAAGCAGCTGCTGTTAAGGAAAACAGGGATTTTCAGCTTGATCAAGTTGGGGGCAAACATTCTCAGTTTGATGTATTTTGAAATACAGGCTGCCTTTCTCCTATCTTCCTATATGGTAAAATACTCTCCACTCAGACAATTAGATTAGCATTTAAACTGAAGCCTTATTTGCATAAGGAAAGTAATAAATGGAGATTTGAAGAGTTTACATCACTGATTCAAGCAAAGGGGAACCAACATCAATAATCCACTGAATTCTGAATTCTGAATCTTCCTTGTATGTGGTGTAGACACCTGCCAGTAGTTCTGGTGATCTTAAAGTTTTAATTATGGATTCAGCTTAAAGAAGCACAAGTACCACAAACTAGCTGCAAAAGTCATAAACAAAATTCAGAACTCTGCAGAAACTTTCTGTATTCTATACTGCTATTAGTAGAACTCTAAAAGCCCCTAGAGCATATTATTTAGAAACAAATCAACATCACCCACGATTCTTAAATGCCTTAACCATTTACAATGCTCAGAATTTTCATCATTTATACTTTAATTCTAGTGAACTTATTTTGAAAACTGTAGACAAGACTGGGAACATAGAATGTCACATTAAAAATAGGGTACTGAGTATTTTTTACTTCCCTAGTTCCAAGTCTCCACCCCTGCAATGAACCAAAAACAAATCCTGGCACTTTGTCATTCCCAGAAAAGCCAGTGCAGCGCACACTTGGCAAAGCTCTTCCTACTCTATAGAGCCACACCAGATGGCATCAGGCCTGCAGCCACAGCTGTGCCTTGAAACTGAAGTGCAGGCATGGGGCTCTACTTTATATTAGACAGCACTCCCATTCAACTTAGAATGGTCCTTTCCAATCAGAACTGCAGATGTATTGTGATTAGTGCAATGGAAATTAGTGAACTGGAAATGAGTGAACAATCAAGATTATACAAATAATATGTGACATCTTGAACTGCTAAAATTTAGAAATAATGAAATAACATTTGAAATAAAAGACATTGAATTATGTAATTATGGCTCATTTCCTTATAACAAAGACAATTTACCTTCTAACATTGCTAAAGTCACTAAAAACAGGATATTTTATCATTTTTAAATTGTTTAAAATATTTTATTTATTATTTTTATTTTATGTATATGAGTGTATTGATTGCATACATGTAAGTGCACCCATGTTGTACAATGCCAGTTGTTAGCCACCATGTGGGTGCTAGGAATCAAACCCAGGTCCTCTGCAAGAACAGCCAGTGCTCTTAACCACTGAGCCATCTCTCCAGCTTCAAAACAGGATAATTTATAATAAAGTAACATTATAAGTGTTCCTGGCTTATCAAATACCTTAGTGCCTAATTCATATTTACTTCATCTTTAAAAATATAATTGGCCAGGCATGGTGGTACATACCTGTAATCCCAGCACTCAGGAGGCTGAGGCTGGCAGAGTCTCAAGGCAGCATAAACTAGTTTGAGACCTTGTCTCATTCATATGTATATTAGAATTCACATAATTTGGGGCTGGAGAGATGGCTTGACCTTACAAGCACCTGAGCACTGGGTGCTCTTCCAGAGGACATTGGTCAGTTCCCAGCACCCATAAGACAGCTAACAACCGTCCCTAACTTAGTTGTGGGGACTCCAATGCCTTCTTCAGGCCTTCTCGGGCACTGCATGGCATACACACATACAAGTAAAACACTCACACACATAAAATAAATTAATTAACTTCTTAAAATTGATGTTACCATCTGGACTAGGGTCAATGGACTGAGTAGTTAATACGCGGAAATTGGATCCTGGACATTGTGGGTATCAGAGCATTAATTCTAGTTCAAGTAGGTGCTGTTGTTCTATTGTTTTGCCAAGCCTGGTAGCATAGTCCTGTAATCCCAGAATTTGGGAGGCAGAAGCAGGAGGTCTGCCACAATTTCCAGGCCAGCCTGGCCTCCATAGCAAGTTCAGTCCAGCCCAGGGTTCATAATGTCTCAAAGTAATTCTGATTGGGGGGGGGATCAGTCCTATGCTGAGTTTTAGAAAAATGGTGATTAGATAAAAGAATAAGAAAAGGCAATTCATACACAGGTGTCAAATTTCCAAAGGCAGAGTTTCTAACTAAAGAAGATACAGCAAGTTCTAAGGGCAAAAGGATTCTAATTCCCAAGTTCTAGGGACAAGTGCCAGGCAAGCAGACAGGAAGAATAAATTTTTTTTTTTTTTTGGCCTGGTTAATTGAGAACTTAGAAACAAGTGTGTTATCATTGGTGGTTAACAGAACAGCCCTGGACTCAGGATGAAGGTGGCCACTCCTTTCTCAGCAGCTGTTCTATATAGCCAGCAGAGAGCGAGGCCTAATACTGAGATGGCCAAATTCTTTGTTCTCTCCTATCAAGAAAGAGTTGGGGTAAATTATACTTCTGGACTTTAGTGCTGTCATGAAGATTACAAAATCAAGAAGCCAAACTGGTCATTAAAACCACTTATCTCCTGATTGTTTACAAAATATGAAATGAGTATTTTCTATCCTTATAAGCAACCATAATTGCTCATTAATCACTCCCACGCTCCTCTTTAATGTTCATGCTAACCACACACCCCTACAATTAGAGGACTATTGTTCAAAGCACAACGCAGATACACTGCTGCTGAGTTTGGAATTCAGACTAGAAATCCAAATCAAGCCATACTATAGCTCTGATAAAGAGAGAATAGACAGACGAGAATTACTCAAGACTAAATGAAGCCAGTGGCTTCATTTAAGATTGGGTCTCTTTTGTCAGAATGAAGGAAAATGCAGGAAATCAACTGAATACCTCAAGTGCAAATCACCTCCCAGTTACTCACCTAACTAGGGCTACTTTTCCTTCCATTTAAATTATCAACAGTTCTTTTCTACTTCGTTTCTGTATCACCAACCTAGGAAAAATTTATGTCATGGGTTTTAACCTTTCTCCATGGTCTTCATGTCTAATATCAATAATTATTTGTATAACTTAATTTGTTCCACCCTGAGACAACTAACTCCAAATCTTTCCTATTAATTAAAGACAAATTGTGTCTGTATCACAGGGCACTCAGACTACCTCTGCACTGTTTCCCAAAGTGCAGGATGGTTACTAAAGTTGTGGATGTTCTGGCCTCTTTCTAATTTCCATAAGCTCCAACCTCCTGGTTGACTTGCTAACTCCTTGGTGTTTATTTCTTGCATTCTGACCCCTCACTTCATTAGGCCCTAGATATTGAGAAGTTTGGCCATAAGGAGAGGCCCCAGCTTACCTTTTGCAAACAGTTTCCACCTCCTACTGTCCAGCTTTGCCAGGTTCCTAGGCTGTGACTGAAGCTGCAGTCCTGGGCCCACCAGTAAAGGACATCAACCAGCCCAGGTCCAGGTGACATGGATCTAGGAAAAGTGTCCAGATTTGATGGATGGGTGATTTCTCACAGTAACATGTGCCTTAGGTGCATAGGTGAGTTCACTCCTGCCAACTGCTCATTTGTAAGAGTTCTAATCTATTAACCTAAGTCTACAGGCAGGCCTCTCCCTTCTCACTTGCCCTTCCTCCTGGTTCTATACTCTATACAAGGCAGCCCTTTCCGCTGGCCCTCCATTCCAAAAGGTCACTTTCTAGTGAATCACCCTCATGGCCACTGTCCTCTGTCCCAGAGTCTAAGCCTACCTTTGGCAACCCTCAGGCTAGACTAGGAATCCCCATCCCCCAACTCTCTTCCAAGCACCAGAGGCATAACTCCCTCCAGAGCTTCAAGTGCAATGTATCCCGTCTTCTTCAGTAATTTAGACTATCAATTTAGTTGGAAGTGTCTTAACTGAGTTCGCTGAAAAAATGTGATTTTCCACCCTTAGATACCAATGCAGGTGCTCAAACCACTCCCATTTCAAAGGCTCACCTCTTTTCCCTGTGTCTCCTTGCCGGAATGAGGCTCTCTCTGGAAGAGCTGGACCCGGGGCCAGAACCCTGCACAGTCCCCAGCACTGGAGCTGGTCCGGAGAGCTGGGGCAGCGGGCACACCTGGAGCCTGGCGCGGCGCACAGCCTGCTGAGCCGGGTGCTCCGGAGGGGCGCGAAGACCCCGCCTGCCCGCGCCAGTCAGAGGGCTTGCTCGTTGTTGAAGCCCCACGGCTCCCGGTGCAGAGAGAGGCGGCCGGGCTGCAGCGTCCCGGCCGTGTTGGCCACCGAGTTCTTCAGCTGCTTGATGACCACGAAGAGCAGGAGGAACAGGAGGAAGAGCAGGAAGAAGAAGAGCGCCAGGTAAAGCAGTAGATTCAGCTCCCACTCCATGCTGGGCCGGCTGGCCGTGCGCGCCGTTCCTCCGCGGGGACAGCAGCTGCGCTGGTGTCCGGGTCTCAGCCTCCAGCCGGCCCAGGCGCGGCAGCCGAGGAGCGGCGTGACCCTGGACCGGCTCTGCCCGCGGCGCGGATCCTCTTCTGCGTGGAACCCTGAGCTGGTCTCTCCAGAGCGAACTTCAGCGGGTGGCACGAGCAGAAACCGCCCAGTGTGCCCAGGGTGCCTCCAGCTGGTGTCCTGTAGACGACCTTAAGACTCCCATTGCCGACATCCACTGGGGCCCGGTCCCCTCCCTTCCTAATTAATGTCTTTCCTTACTTCCCCCAATTCGAGCTTTCCAAAAGAGAGACACAAAAGAATTAGAGGTGCAGTCTGAAGTGCTTGGAGATGCTTCCTGCTGAGGTGCTCAAAGGATGCCCTGGAGAGTTCCAGCTCAAGCTGCTCTGCAACTGAGAGATGCCTAGGCCATTAGCTGCTATGGAGTGCACTTTACTCCCTACTACATAGAGGTCCTTACAAAAGCACTAACAGGAAAACGCATTTCAAAAGTTTTATTTTACAAAAGCTTCCCAGTGTTGACTTGAAAGTCAACTTATTTGATGAAAAGCAGTTGGAAAATACTCTAGGTTCTCTCTCCACAGCTCTGCATATGAGATAACTCCATGTGGTGAAGTGCTGACAGAAATTCAGTTATTGTTACTAGTGGTGTGCTAGTCAGTCTTCTGGTTTTTTTGTTTTGTTTTGTTTTTTTGAGACAGGGTCTCACTGTAGCCCCAACTGGCCTAGAACTCACTATATAGACCAGGCTGGCCCCAAAGTGCTGTGATTAAAGGCACACACAGCCACTAGTCAGTTTTTCGTTCCTGTGATAAAATGCCTGAGAGAAATTAACTTAAATGAGAAAGAGATTATTGTAGATCATGGTTTCAGAAGTTTTATCCAGATCAGCTGGCTCCTTTGTTTTTAGGCTTGTGACAACATGGAAGAATGATACAAGAGCCTAGGGAGAAGGATGCTCAGCTCAAGTAGCCAGGAAGAAGAGAGGGAAAGTGAAAAGGTCCAGGGGCAAGATAGACTCTTCAAAGCCACTCTACAGTGATTTACTTCCTTCAGTCAGGTCCCATCTCCTAAGCACCCATTCTGCCAGGGATTTATCAATCAATTCATCTACTGATGAGGTGCATGCCTTCATGATCCCTTCACCTCTGAGTTACTACTAACAGCCGGAGACCAAGTCCTCAGCACAGGAGACTTCATATCTAGACCATAACACTATGTGACAGGTCAACCCAGAACTCAGTGGCTTAAAACATTATAAACGTTGGTTGGTGATCTAAGTGTCCGTGGGTGGAGAATTTAGGAGTACTTTTAACCAGGTGTGGTGGTGCATAACTATACCCTCAGCACTTGGGATGCTGAGGCAGGATAATGTTTGAAGTCAGCTTGGGCTGAATAGTAAGTTCTAGGCCGTCTTGAGCTATATAGTAAGATCCCATTTTTCAAGTAAAAACATGGAGTCCTTAAGTTGGGTGATTCTAAGCTTGGGTTTTCTCAAAGGGGCTGCTGCCATCTGAGGGCTTGTCTGCAGCCCAGGATCCCCTTCCAGGTTGTCACACTCACAGCTCTAGGAAACAGTGTGGGCTGTCCATGGGAGGCCTCAGTCCCTGGCAGTAGCTTTTCCACAGATCTCTGAAGCCACCAGCATCCTGCAGCAGAACAGGTAAGCCAACAGAGCTAGGCCAAGGCACAGGGCCCCCAATCACTGGCTGTAGAAGTTGCGTACCAATACTCCCTAATGGTTATACAATTCAGAACTGTGGAGTATAGGATCCAGGGACATGAACACCAGAGGCAGAGGTTCCTGGAAGCCTTACTGGAGTTTGGCTATCACCACAGATTGATTACTAAAGCCATTTCCTAGACCCCCAACTTTATTTCATTCTTTATTTATGAAATATGAGAACTACCTGAGCTGAAATGGGGGAATGAAGCCTATGGTGGTTTGATGAAAATATCCCCCATAAGCTCCAAGTATTTGGACCATTTTGTCCCCAGTTGGTGGTGCTGTTTTGGAAAGTCTTGAAAGGCATAGCCTTGCTGGAGGAAGCATATCACTGGGGGTAGGCTTAGAGAGTTTTTAAGCCTTGACAGATTTCCAGTCGCCTCTGTTTATTGTGCCTGCTTGAAGATGTGAGTCTCTGCTTTCTGCTCCCACTCTTGCTTTGGCTACCTCCTGTCACCATGTCTCCCAGCCATGATGGACTCTAATTTCTCTGGAACTGTAAGCTCAAATAAACTCTTCCTTTTATAAGTTTCCTTGGTCACAGTGTTTTATCACAGCAACAGAAAAGTGACTAATACAAAGCCTAAAAATCACATCCCAGATTATACCATGGCTGCTCACAGCACATTCCAGCACTGTCACTGGTCATGCAGACAGGACAGGAAGGAGAAAACAGTAAGCCATAAGTTGAGGACCCAGTTCTAGTCTCAGCTCTCTCATCTCTGTGACTGCTTCTCTCTTCTCTCTGTCCCCTCACTAATAACATGCTTTGTTTACCTTTCCCTTGGATTTGTTATGAGGATCAAAAATGATTGGGATGATGGGGCTGGAGAGGAAGACTCATCAGTTAAGAGCTCTGGCTGCTCCTGTAGAAGATCCAGGTTTAGTTCCCAGCACCCACATGGTGACTAACAACTGTGCATAAATTCAGTTCCAGGGCATCCAACTCCTCTTTCTGGCCTCCACAGCATTTCACACATGGGTGCATTTACATACATGCCTGCAAAACTCTCATACACTCAAAATAAATTTTCAAAAGCAATGATTGGGATGTTGGCTGTTTCTTTTACTATATAAATATCAGGACTATTATTCTATTTTCGATAGTCTCCAATGCTACAGGCTACTGTTAAAATTTTGTAGGCCTTTGCCACAAGCATCTTAGATAGATAATTGTGATCCAGCCCACCATCTCTGTCTCTTTATAACAATCTACTTCATAGAAAGGTCTATCCTAGAGCTGGCTCCTAATAACTCCTAAGAACAGATTGTTAATTTTTCAAGACAATTGCTACAAAAAGCTATGACTAGAAATCATATCATATAAATTTACAAATAATGTCAACTAAGGACTACGTGCTCAAGCCTCACTTCCTATTGATTTTTCTGTGCATTTCCATCATCAGTGCAATTGTGATACGATTGGGTAAACAAACTGCATGCTCCTGCTCAAGTCTTCCCAATGGTGCTCAGTGAAAGCATGGTGACTCAAAACTAACCAGGTAAGAGAGAGTTTTCCCTGAGGCAATATAGTACAGGGCCAGGGCTGACAGTGTTAACCAGCACACCGCTGTCATGGAACTACTAAGGAGAATTTAAAGTCTTACCCATGTTCAGCAGAGTTCTGACTTCCCAGAATCCCATAGTGCTGCTGGAAGCACCACATGTTCCTCTGGGTAGAAGTTTTCATTTTATATAATCTTGGCAAAAGAACAGATCCCCGTGCCTGGTTTCCGTTGCTGCCTCCTGTTATGGAAGCCAGGGGATCAGATATAGCTTCTACCCACCTCTGAAACAGTGTGAGAAGGAGGGCAGGAAAAGCCATGCCAGACTCAGCCAAATATCCTTCATTCCAGGACTCAAACTTGGGAGCTGACAGACCAGGAGGGAATGCCTGGAGAAGTTGGTGTGTCTCCATCGTAGGGGTTCTGACAGCAAGAATAGTCCCAGGGTCAGGACCTGGCTTCTGCTGCCCACCTCCTCAGAAGCCTTGACTCCTGACCCTTTCCAGAACTGCCCTCTGCCTCAGTTCCCTTTGTGAGTTGCCTCTGATGCTGCAGATCTCACTATTGTGGCTGGCAAGGTGGTTGAAACCAGCTTGCAGATGAACACGCTGATGGAAATGGAAAGCATTGCTTACAAACTGCACAGGATAAGTGCTCATAATCAGCAAAGCATTTGACAGTAAAAGCATATGGCAGCTAGATATCCAAGGCTGTGAAAGATGGAGATTAATGCACAGAGAGGGTCCATGACCTGGCAAATAGCAGAACCAGAATTAAAACCCAAGGAGTTTGACTCCCAATCCCTGTGGTATGCTGCCCCTCAAGAGAAAGTAGTCATTTATTGTGCGTGATCAAGTCGGTGACCATATTTTTTTTTCCCTTTGAGTATCGCGCTAAGAAGAAACAAATTTCTGAAGACAAATACTTCTGCCAAATGTATCTCATCTCTTTCTCTAGAAATCTTGAAGATTGAACTACGGTGGTGATACTTATGATCCCAGCACTTGAAAGGTAGGGACAGGAAGATCAGGCCAGTCTAGGGCTACATGAGACCTTGCCTCAGAAAAAAAGAAACCTTGAAGGTCAAAACTTCAGATGAGCCAGTGTCATCCTGTAGAATGCTAAGAAACCAAAAGATAAATGTTTTGTGTTGCCAAGTTCAGATCACTTCAGCCTTCCTAACACTAACATATCAGTTTGTCTTGTAATTGTGCTTCCTAACAGCCTTCCTAACCATAACCATTATCTCAGTAGCTTAAATATATTTATAAATATTAAGAAACCCCCATGTCCACTCTCAAAAGAATTTGTGTTTAAAAGATCACTACTGCTACAAGACTAGCATCACATTTATTAGAGGTTCCTGGTGTTTTTAGTCTATGTTAGCATTTTGTATTATATATTTTAAAAAATCTTGAGCTAGGTGTAGTGGTGCAAACCTTTGGTCCCAGCACTTGAGAGGCATAGGCAGGCAGACCTCTCTGAAATCAAGGCCAGTCTGGTCTACATAGTAAGTTCCAGGCCAGCTGTGACAACAGGGAGACCCTCTCTCAAAAGGGAAGAAAGGTCTGAATTTTTTTTTTTTTTTTGGTCTTTTTGAGACAGGGTCTCCCTGTAGCCCCAGCTGTCCTGGAACTCACTATGTAGACCAGGCTGGCCTTGAACTCACAGAGATCTGCCTGCCTCTGCCTCCGGAGTGCTGGGATTAAAGGTGTGCGCCACAAGCCCCGATGTCTGAATTTTTTTGTTTTCCATGAATTAAATGACTCCCAGGAACAATATTTCTCTTCCTAAATATGCATATTATTAGAGATCCATGGAAAAAAAAACTTAAGTATTTTAAAGGTAGAAAGGACACCCACTATAGGTAAGAGCTGTGCTAGTTCCAGTACCTAAAAAGAGCCCTGGTGCCAGGCATGGTGGTGCATGCCTTTAATCCCAGCACTCAGGAGGCAGAGGCAGGCAGATCTCTGTGAGTTCAAGGCCAGCCTGGTCTACATAGTGAGTTCCAGGACAGCTGGGACTACAGGGAGACCCTGTCTCAAAAAAAAAAAAAAAGAAAAGAAAAGAAAAAGAAAAAGAGCCCGGTGATACACAAATGCGAGGGCATGTCACCACTCACAGAGCAGACCTGCACATGCCCCTATTCACAGTCTGTCTTGTTCCATCACGTTTGTGACTCTTCCAAGCTTTCTGTCTCATCCCATAGGTCTCAAAACAGCTGAGTGTTGTCCATTGTCCAGGCCATGATGCCTGTGACATGTGGTTAGGACCTGCTTGCTTGACTGGGTCCTCCCTCCCCTAACCTCTGACACAGAGGATGTCTCTCATCGCAAGCAGCAGACACACATATGAAAAGAGCTAAGAGTAGCAGTACAAAAGTTTGTCTTATAATTGTGCTTCAAACTAAAAGGGCAACCAGTAGGTGCTGTGGTTGGTTTTCAGTCCCAGGACTAACCCTGCCTGAGCTTCCCTGTTGAGGGCCCCCTGCAGGGTGGAGGTAGCTTTACCAAGGGATGAGTAAGGGAAGGGAGAACAAGTAAGTTCCAGAACCTCTATAAGGCTGGCTCAGTTGCACAAATCCATGAGAAATAGAACAAACATTCTGCCTTATGTGCTGGACCATAATTGACAAGACTGGATTCTTATGGAACTACACACTTTCCCAAGTGCTGTGGATTACAAAAATTTAGTTAGATGTAAGTGGCTCTGCTTGGATAAGGTAGCTTCCAAAGTACCTCATCATGCTTTGGGGATGGGGATCCATACTCTGCTGAAGATTCTGGGCCCCAGGATAGTCTCTCCAGTCTCTCTTAGCTAGTTAGGGCCTGTTATGGTTAGTTTTTGTCAATTTGACACAAATGAGAAACACCTTGAAAGAGGGAGCTTCAGTTGAATGTGGGGATGACCTATAAATGGATATAATCTTGACTAATGACTTTTAATTAACCCCAGCAAAATCATATGCTCTTGTGTCTTGTGACCTGGGCATCTGGTTTCCTAGGCAATCTCAATTTAGTACTCCACCCAAAAGGAGAATGAATGAATGAATGAATGAATGCTTGAGAATTAACATATCAAAATGATGAAAGGCAGTGCCCCATCTCCATTGCACTCAGTGAAGATTGGGAAATATGGGTAACCTTGAGTGAATAAGCTATTCTAGAACTAGGGATGAAAAGGCCACATAGTCTGTTAAGATTAGAGTAGAGCCAAGCTTGTACTCCCCAACTGAAGATGGAGAAACCATTTTGAATAAAATTAAGGCTGGGGCCAGGCTCCAGAACACAGTTCCAGGGATGAAATTTCAGCAAGACAGTTCCATCAGCACAGTGCCAGGAGACAGATGGTTCCAAACAATATCTAGGGGAATGAGAGTCCAAGTTTGGGCCCACTCTTAAAAACCGAATTTAAGACTTAGTATAGTTATGATGTTGGTGTAGTAATACCACAGTTGAAGAATTTCCTCTATCTGATTAGCTTGTGACCATGTCTGTGAGGCATTTTCTTAAATGGTAATTGGTGCAGGAGGGTCCAGCCCACTGTGGGCAGTGCCATCCCTGGGAAGGTGAGGTTGGGCTGTATAAAGACGGTAACTGAGCAAGTCAGGGAACCAAGCCAGTAAGCAGCATTCCTCCATGGTCTCTGCTTCAGTTTCTACCAGGTTCCTGCTTGAGTTCCTGTCCTGACTTCCTTCAATGATGAACTGTGATGAGAAAGTATAAGTCAAATAAATCTTGTCCTCCTCAAGTTGCATTTGGTCAGGGTTTTATCACAGCAGTAGAAAGAAACTAGGGCAGGGCTTAAATCAGCCCAATGATCCTGGTGACCATTAAAGTCTCAGAAGTATTCTAGCCGTGCCATCCACATCCCTCTAATAAGTGTACTTCCTTTGCTTCTGCTTCACCCACCAGTTCATTTCTGAGAAATACAAACTGGGGTTTCTTGAAATTGCTCTTATTATACTTGTTCTATCCCTAGATGAAGGTTAGAAAAACCATTAGAATATTCACAGCTGGGTCAGGTGTGGTGGCACGTAACTTTAATCCCAGCACTCAGGAGGCAGATGGATCTCTGTGAGTTCAAGGCCAGCTTGGCCTACATAGTGAGTTCCAAGCCAGCCAGGGTTACGTAGTGTGACCCTGTCTCAAAACAAAATAAATACAGGAGAATGTTCACAGGAGGGCAGGTCAATTGTTCTACTGAAGGAATTGTATAAGGCTAACTAACCAACAGTTATCGCATCACCCAACGGCAGCACTGGCTCTCCATACTTCTCCCTCTTCCCCCATGCCACTCCAAGAGAATGACTGAAGCAGTTAGGAGTACTTACACAACTCTTCAGGAAATAAGACAAAGTTACGTGATAAGCTACTTGTCTCAAGTAGCCATATAAAACTTCCAATGAGGAGGGAGAGAGGAAGAAGGAAGGATATACGGGAGAGAGGGAGGGAAGGAATGAAGAAGGGACATCTGTAAAGAGATTTCTGTGAGGGTCTATAGGAGATAGTCCCATATGGGTAGCCTTTGAATTTCAGAAGGTACCACTTAGAATAGTTCTATAAAAACACTTTAAATTCCATCATTGGCTTATAATACATCTTAAACACAGTTGAAGATGTATCACATCTATTCATTACCAAAGAAAAATGTTTATTCAGTAGCAGATTGTGATCGTGGACAAACATTATTTCTTTAATGTATACTCTTTCCAGTAAGTTAGGACATTAAAAAAAAATCAATATGACTGTGGCTAACCTGAGACTTGACCAATACTGTCTTGTAGCAAAAGAAAGTATCTGAGCATTATCCTTCATTCAGCATAACTTTAATAATAATGGGGAGACTGCTGACAGTAATGGAAGGTCTGCACACGTCATAGAAGCTGATAATATAGGAAGCTGAATACACATGCACACAAGCATGTATACATACAATGCACACAAGAAAGAACACAGCTAAAATGGACAGCCCTAAGAGGTAAAGGAATTGAGAACAAAGGATACATTGTCTATATGCCTACCTCATTGGTGAATCACTAGCTTATCAGATCTGGCCACTGTAAGCTCAGCTGTAGCCTGAGCTTCCACATCTGGTACTTCAAGCTGTCATTTAGAACACTGAGCCAGCCAGACTTAAAGCCCTGCCCCTGCCCTGCCCCTCTACCTTGTCTTGTGCTACACAATGCTGTGAGTTGCAGAAGGCATTTTGAATGCTGTGGATTTGGGCATATACCCTAACTTCATGGCCTGCCATCTGGATAACCTGGACACCTTTGTTTGCCTGCAGAGCCCCAAATATCTTTTATCTTTAGTCATAATTTTTATTTCATTCATAATCCCCCACATCCCCCTGGCAAGTGGAAAAAAAACAGTTCCAGCAAAGTGGTTCCTGAATGGTCTAAAATGCCTTG